ATAGACATTTCACATATGTAATGACCAAACTGTATTATTGCCAAAACACAAACCTTTTTCAATTTCAACAACTTTGAAATAATTGTAATCATTTATTTATTTTTTATTGATTTATTTTTATTTTATTTTATTTTATTTCATTTTATTTTTATCAATGATCACTGAACTTATAAAATAGTTCCATAGCGTTTGAGTAAACAATTTTAGATCTCAATAGAAATTCTTAGTTAAAATATAGGTTTTTACCTAATGTGAATCATGATAATGCAAAAGTAAAAAAAACTAAATAGCCTAATGTACCTATTAAGAGTAATTAGTATTCTAAATCATTCACATACATGTGTAATGGCCAACTTTTAATCTGGCCAAAACATTAATTCACTATTTTTTTTTTAAGCTCATTTATTCGTTAACTACCATCAAATAAAAGTTTAAAACAAATATATATAACACCATCTAATTTAAATCTAATACAAATACTATATGATATTAAAATCATAAACCAAGTACTACTACTTTGTTCATGTCACCATACGAAATATTAAACTTGTCCAAAATATAACCGAAATGACAAATCAGATATACTAAATAGGTAATGTTCAAAAGTAGAATTTGTTAATGCCATCAGATATCAGTGGCATGGTCCTTGTTTTCTGTGGGTGAGGAAACACCTTCAGGTGGATGCTCAGTTATGTTGCCCGCATTTGCAGTAGGGTCTTCAGGCAAAACCTCTTTTGCAGTGGTTATCTTGTCATCTGCAATCGAACCACTTTTCAAATCAACAGCCGGGACTTCAAGACTTTGTTTTTCATCCACGCCATCAGCAGGAATATCAGGAGTTTCTTCTTCAACTGGAGCATCTTCGAAAGTTGCACCAGATGCATCTTTGAGAGTGGCACCAGCACCAACATCGGCACATCCTCCTTTTGAACTTCAAGGCGCTCAATAACCAATTTGAAATTTTCATCCACGACCTCCATGTCCTCACTATCACTGTCTTCACTTACCACGCCACTGCCCTCTTTTTCACTCTTTCCTTTCGTTTTTTTCTTCTTCTTGCTTTGATTTTTTTAGTTGAAACTTCTGTTTCAACTTCCTTGTCATTTGCCTTCTTTTTTTTCCTTTGACACAACTTTAACTTCCTTCTCTTTCAATCCCTTCTCTTTTTTATTTCGGTCTTTTTCCTTTTCACCTTCTTCAAAAATGATCTTCTTCTTTACCGTCCCTTTCTTTTGGTTCTCATCTTCTTCTTCTTCATTTTCCTCATTGTCTGCATAATCACCAGCACCAGTGTCATCCTCATCATCATAATCAGTGTCCTCATCCTCTTCTTCTTCAGATTTTGCTTTCCCCTTTTTCCTCCTTGGTTTATCAACATTGTCTTCGCTAGTTCCTGTAGCAAAGTCTGCCAAAAAATTTGATATCAGCTTCCACATCTGATTTACGGCCGCACCTTACCTGTCAATCTTGTTGTTTATGCGATCAAAGGCTATCTCAACCATCTCAACATGTGCTGGTGGCGCCTTTCCTACAAGTTGCGTTTTCTCCTTGTCAATTACAGCCATCATCTAAAAAAATAACAAATATCCGTTCATACAAGTGAGAGAAAATATGACTAAAAAAGCACAAACATATTTGCACTTACCTTGCTTGTTTTGTAGCCATCTTTTAAATTACAGATCATGTCATGCAAACTCTTCAATTTCACATCATTCCAGTCCCTAATCCTTGGCTGATCATACTTCCAAATATTGTATAGTCCATCCTTAGGGGAATACTCACAAAATATTCCCTGCATATAGACCCAAAAACTATTTCTTATTAACATCATTATATGCAAACCATACAATAAAATATATTCTGCCATAAACAGGTAATTACCTATATACAAATATGTCAAAACACACATAAACAAGACACTCAGCATAAAAAATATTACATATTAGTAATCCCCAACAACAATTTTAGTTAATATTTTATACGATTGAGGGCAGACACAAATTGACTTTTATCATTTGGTAATGATTAACATACACATATGTCAATACCTACATAAATCGAAAGTATACAAGGAGGGCTATAACAAGACAAGTACTTAGCCAAAAGATATTCTGCCATAAACAGGTAATTACCCATATACACATATGTTAAAACACACATACACAGGACACTCATTATAATAAATAGTACATATAATTAATCACCAATATTTGGTTTTGTTAATACATAAAGTAACATAATACAGAAAACATAACAAATATTGTTCATTTGTAATTACTTGTAATTGCCTAGATAATTAAAACATATGTCATTACCTACATAAATTGAAAGTATACAAGGAGAGTCATAACAAGACAAGTACTTGGCTAAGAGATATTCTGCCAGACACAGGTAATTACCTATATATAAAAATGTCAAAACACACATAAACAGGACACTCATCATAATAAATATTACAAATAAGTAATCACCAATATTTGGTTTTGTTAATACATAAAGTAACATAATACAGAAAACAGAACAAATATTGTTCATTTGTAATTACTTTCTTAATTATTTGTAATTGCCTAGATAATTAAAACATATGTCAATACCTACATAAATTGAAAGTATACAAGGAGGGCCATAACAAGACAAGTACTTAGCCAAGAGATATTCTGCCATAAACAGGTAATTACCTATATACACATATGTTAAAACACACATACACAGGACACTCATTATAATAAATAGTACATATAAGTAATCACCAATATTTGGTTTTGTTAATACATAAAGTAACATAATATAGAAAACATAACAAATATTGTTCATTTGTAATTACTTTCTTAATTACTTGTAATTGCCTAGATAATTAAAACATATGTCATTACTTACATAAATTGAAAGTATACAAGGAGGGCCATATATAACAAGACAAGTACTTAACCAAGAGATATTCTGCCATAAACAGGTAATTACCTATATACAAATATGTCAAAACACACATAAACAGGACACTCATCATAATAAATAGTAAATATAAGTAATCACCAATATTGGGTTTTGTTAATACATAAAGTAACATAATACAGAAAACAGAACAAATATTGTTCAATGGTAATTACTTTCTTAATTACTTGTAATTGCCTAAATAATTAAAACAATTTTAAAAAAGCTCACTATAAGAAGCAGAGTACTTCCTCCCAAATTTTTAGGATCTTCTTCGGACTTGAATTCTCTAATGGCCTTAACTGAACTATCCAATACAAATTTTGCAAAATTCCAATGTCTTACACAATCATCTTCAATGACAAGATGTAGACATGCCTTTTCAAGCTTTTCAATTATGTTTGGACAGATTAGGGCAGTCATAACAAATATTGTAAACATGCGTATAAAAAGAGGATTATCATGTGATGTCCTCTTTAGTTCAGCTACCATTCCTTGAACTTTAAGTATCGTAAAATTCCACAATTTTTTATCTAACGCATCATCATTATCTAACTCTGAACTGTCAATCTCAAATCCATGGTCACTAAACCCCAAAATGTATTCAACATCCCTAGTTGTAATCTCAATTTTGTCCCCATACACCCCTAGTGTTCTAGTGGCCGGATCAAAATGATCAATGACCCACTTGCACATTGTTTTCCTAGTGGTTTTAGTGTTGTAATGTAACAAAAAACCAAATCCCATTTCCTCTAGCTTATCCTTTTTCTCTCTTGGAAAACCCTTAATTAGTGCAACAAATTCTTCAAGTTTACAGAAAGGGTTCCAAGATCCCTACACAAATTAAATAAATTGCAAATATTTGTAATTAATAAATCATTTGAAGTGCATGTGTAATATCAATATGAGTAACAAGTACAAAAATTCAATTTACCACGGTGGTGGTTGAACTTCTAGAAGGAAATGGTTGCAGTTTCGGTTTTTTTTCCTGAAGGTGCAGTAGTGGACCCTGTTTTCCTTTTACGTGTAGTCATGCTTCACTATATATATATATATATATATATATATATATATATATATATATATAATAAATATTAACATTTTAATTTTGACAATCTTAAGCGAAGAAATTGTCATCCACAAACATTATAACATAACCCACAATCATCAAAACATTCTCTAAATAGTCATGCAACTTCAATTCTCATGTCATTGCTCTTTTTATTTTATTTTATTTTATTTATTTTTATTTATTTATTTATTTATTTATTTATTTGTAAATTCCTAATTGAAAATTAAAGTTTTCACTTTACAAAAATCTACAATTTTAGTTCTAAAATAGTCAAGCATCAACCCAATTGAACCACAATTAAGTGAAATTAAGTGAAATTTGCAACATCGACGATACAAACTCAATTGAACCACAATTAAGTGAAATTTGAAACACAATTGAACCATTATTAAGTGAAATTTGCAACATCAACGATTCAAACACTAGTACAAAACTAACCTTAAGTAACACCTAAAAAGTGTTACACAAAGTGGTAAAAGTGTTATTATAGACAATATGTAACACTTTAGTGGGTGATACATCCGCCCGTGTTACCTAAGGTCTTATGTAACACTTTGGATAATCGATGGTAACACCATTAAAAGTGTTACTATAAACCCTCTTATGTAACATTTTTTTATATTATTAGTATCATTTTTAAAGTGATACCTTTTATTTCTTATGGGACACTTACTTATCTTTAGTACCATTTTTCAATCATATAGTATCACTTTATCCGATATTATTTATCACTTTTTTGAACTAATGTAACACTTTATTGATTATTAGGTAACATTTTTCAATTATCTTTGGACATATAATAGCACTTTTTTCGACATTATGTATCACTTTTTACAAACTAATGTAGCACCTAATTAATTAATAGATTATTATTATTATTATTATTATTATTATTATTATTATTATTATTAATGTTTTTTTTTAATATAAAATTAATATTAATATGCATAACAACTATGAATAAGAAATTAACATATATGATAGACAACAATTTGGATTGAAATAATTTCATAAGTCTTATAAAAAAATTCATAAACACCAATTTTAATGTTTGGCCAAACAATATACTTCGTAATAATCCAAACAAAATGAAAAGCAACTACGATCTCTGGCTGACAAAAAGTGAGGAAATAAGAAAACTTCCAAATTTCAAAAAACAGTCAGCGATAGCAGTAAACAACATTAATAACAGCAAATAGCAGCAGCAGCTAGCTAGCAGAACGGCGGCAGCTGTAACAAACCAGCAAACAGCATTACGTAGCAGCAAACAAAAGTAGCAGACAGTAGTGGCGGCAGATAGCAGCAGCATTGGCGGCAAACAGCAGCAGCAGTGGCGGCAAGTAGCAGCAGGGGCAGCAAGCAACAGCAGGGGGCAGCAACAGACAACAGTAACAGCAAAAAACAGCAGCGGCGGCAGCAGCAGCAAAAAACAGCACCGGCAACAAAAAAAATAGCAGTAAAAGCATCCAAACAGCAGTAACAGTAAGTGCTTCTTGTAGCATCTTCACTTATTATCCCAATTCTTCATCTTGATCCCTTTGATCCTATTTGTGAAAGCATCATATATCAAACATCTAGAACAAAAATGAAATAGCGCAATATTAAGAGTTAGTGCTTTTTCGTTTGTTTCGAGCCCTTCATCGACTCTTTCATTTCATAAGCCATGGATGTTACCCCCAAATCCTTTATTTTGCTTCTATTTTGTTCTATCCTTGCTTGTCTACGTTTTTCATATTCTGCCATCTAGATCTTGCTTCCTACAAAGAACACACAAGACAACAAGTTGACAAACATTATTGATGACAAACAAAATTTCAGATTTTCAGAGTATCAGACCCCTAGCAGATTATTAGCCTGATGTTCAGAGTTTACATAGCTAATTCCACCTTGATTTACCTCAGAAGAGAGTGGCCAGAACAAAACTATGTCCAATTTTCATTGTTGGCAGACTATAAAGTGAACAGGCTAGAACAAAACTATAGTTTTTCATTCACCATTGAGGAACAAGGAATACAAACTTGCATTACATCCATGAAGGGCTGTTCGATTCCTGTGTAAAAATGAAAAAACGGAAATGATCAAGTGAGAGTAATCATTTTATTATTCATGGATTGAATTATTAATAACTAGATTTGACACTTGTTTAATTGATACACCATGCTAAACATGTTTTAACGCTACTAGAAACATACCTACTAGGGAAAGTTCATATATGACTAGCTAACTGATATTGCATGCATAAAGTTCAAACTAAAGGTTTTCTCCCTACATGGATCAGATGCAGGAATTAAGTCACAAATCCATGCATTGAATTTTGTTCTGCAGAATTATGCATGCATGTCATAGGACCGAAACTGGTCACTTTCACTGATTAGGATACAGGTTTAAGAGCTTATTACCTTTGTTAGGCAGCTGACTACAGATTCGAGCACCTGAGCAACTGAGCACAGAAAGAGCAATTGAGCATAGAAAGAGCAACTGAGCACCAGACTTCACATAAGAACTAGGACATACAGGCCAACCACCATAAGAATTCAGACTATTAGCAAGATTAATTGCACACAACCTCGAAGAATTGCAGAGAGCTCATAGTTTCAACGAAATTCATTCTTTCTATACCCTTATTCTGAAGGCAACATCTTTGTTAAACACCTAACATGAAGGACAGTTTGGTGAGGGATTACTAAAGTATATGTAGCTCATTGTACTATTAAGTACATTAACCTTACTCAAGGAACAATAAAATATGCTTTTTCTAGTGAACTGCATAACATTGTTGCACGCTTAATACGAAGTATGTGAATGCAGCAATAAGGTATGAGAATCAAGTAGAAACTTGATGGTAGAAAATTAGAGATCGCAATCTCTCAACTAAGAGGTTAGAGGTTCAATTCTCATCACCCCAACTTTATGATTGAGGTAATCATGATGGCTTATCTCTGTGTAAACTCTTATCAGTAAAACGGCTGTTGTTTATGATACTGAGGAAACAAAGCGAAAATCCAGCAATTGGATCATAATGACTTGTGACATATGATAAGTCTTGAACCTCGGCTAGATTAACAATCAAGATTCTAATTTTTTTTTTTAAAGTCTTATCCGCTTTCTATTTTCTTGTGGTTTAATAAGCATTTATGAGCTGCTAATAGATGCTTTTTGTTCAACCTAACATTTTAAGTTCTACAAATGATGTTCAGTTCTAGCTCTTAGGGGACCAACCCTTAATATAACTAGAGTTTGCATTAATACAATGACATCCCAAACTACTCTTGAAGTAGCAAGTATTATTTGTCTGCCTATATATAGAAGCTTACTGACTGCTTCTCTTTTATTTCAATTTAATTGCTTTGGCGCTAATCCTAAACTTTTTTAATAAATTGGTAATTAAATTTGGGGATTAATACTAACTAATACTTAAGTATATATGTTAATTGACCTTAAAAGAATATAACACCTCTTAGTGTTACTAATACACTAAAGTAAGATAATCATGGTAATTTCCTAGTCCTTGTATAATCGAGAGCTTGACTATAGACGTAACTGATAATGTAGCCATGGGAAAGAGATAAACATAGTATTAAAACTGAGTTTTTTTTTTACTGAAGTAGAAGCTAAACTCATTAGACACCTAAATCCAAATAAAAAAATTAAGCAATATCTAGAAGAAAAAAAAGAGTAAATTGCAGAAATTAGCCATTTAATCATCTAAACCCCCACAAAATTAAAGCTTGGAAAATGTGGCAAATGACGCAATTATCACACTTTCTTACAAAATTAACAACTAATAAGAAAAAGTATCGAGATAATGAAAGATAAAAATCCAATTCCATAATTAGAGCTTTAAAAAAATAAAAATAAACAAAAAACCTTGCTAGTAGTAGTGGTTTTGGCAGTAGCAGGAATAGCAGCAATAGCTTATTGAATATCAAAGTAATCAAACACCATTCCTCCAATTATAACTGGTATTGTCCTGGATTTCTTCATCTCTTTTGCCCATAATTACTTGGGTTCTCGACAAGCTTATGAGGAATTAATTCAGAATAGAAAATAATTAAATTAAATTGGACAGATTAGTCAAAAAAGATCAAATTACAATGTAAATCAAAACGGCAATTATCGAAAAGAAGAAAAAGCAAAAACCCCAAACTCATCAAAATACATCGACCAATTTTGATGCACACAAAATTCAGTATGTAGATAGTGAAATTAATTTTTTTTTTTTTTTTTTTTTGAGGCAATAGTGAAATTAAACATCAAATTAAGAAATCATCAACAAGATTAGAGAGAGGGAATTAAAACCCTCACTTTAGCTAAGTCAAACTCTTGTTGATAATGGAAGGGAGAAGAAATGAAACTAACACTAACCCAAACTTTAAGGTGGAAGTCGCCGAAGATGGAAGCCAGGAGGTGACAATCGATGTCTTTTGAGGGGGCAAACATCGTTGTCTCTTCAACTAGGAGCACGTGCTGCGATGGAGGTAGGCTGCGGTGGACTACAGTGGAGCACCGAGATTGAGAAGGGGGTAGCGGTGGAAAGGAGGTGTAGTTTCAAGAGAAAGCGAAAACTTGAATGCTTGATGGAGAAACCGAGAAATAAGGAGAAAGAGAGTTGTGAGGCTCTGAGGGTTTTTTTTTTTACTATTATTTTATCAAATTAAGTTTTACAATCAAGTTCTATCTAACATTAAAGTGTTACAATTAAATGATACCTAAATAACCTAATTATAAAGTGTTACTATGAAGTGTTACCTAATATTAGAGTGTTATAAAAAATGTTATCTAATATTAGAATGTTACAAAAGTGTTACTGAAAAATCAACCAATCATGAAATTTTTAAAGTGTTACCAATGAATGTTACTTAAGCCTAACTTTGTACTAGTGAAAATCGAAATTAAAGACAAAGTACACTTACAATGTAGGTTCTAGATTGTTTAACTTCCAAAAATTTGATAGCGCCGCCTCCGTCACCTTCTTTTTGCACCGTTTTGAGAGTGATTTGGTCTAGATAAATGTAGACTAGAAGATGAAGAGAAGAATGAAGTTAGAGAGAGAAATCTAGAAGAGTAGAGAGAGAGTGTGTGAATACTTAATTTATTTTTTCGATTGACGTGAAAGTAAAAGTAACCGGCATTGAAATGGTAAAAATCAGCGGTTGAGATTATTTGATTTTATGCATTATTATTTTATTTTATTTTATAAAAAATGGATAGTTACCAAAACACAACTCCTTAAAACACGTAAACAAAATCCGTACAATTCGGTAATTTTTTAAAAATAAAAGAAACAATTTTATTTTTTAAGGAAAATTAAAAACCCAAAAATAGACTCAATATATATTTTTTCTCAATATAAATCTTCATAGTTTGTTTTAAGGATAACTTAACTTGATTAATGACAAAATGATAATTATAGATTTAAAGTAACCTGTGTACAGTTTGTTTTAAGGATAACTTTAACTTGATTAATGACAAAATGATAATTATAGATTTGAAGTAGGCTGTGTACAGTTTATATGTCTTTTTTTTTAAATATTCAAAACATGAAAATTATATTAGAATATTAGAAAGAAAAAAACAAGGATGTCTCTAAGTTATTTAATTAATTTATAACTTTAGGTAAAAACCAAACTGGTAATAGGTAAAGTCCATATTCACCTTTGATGTAATTTAAAAAAAATGCAATACCAAAACACTTAATTGTTGTAACTATAATTCGATATACATCAAAGATTCAATGAGTATTTGAAGAGTTAATGACAGAATAAATATTCAAAACATGAAAAGAATATTAGAAAAAAAAACAAGGATGTCTCTCAGTTATTTAATTAATTTATAACTTTAGGTAAAAACCAAACCGGTAATAGGTAAAATCCAAATTCACCTTCAATGTAATTAAAAAAAATGCAATACCAAAACACTTAATTGTTGTAACTATAATTCGATATACATCAAAGATTCAATGAGTATTTGAAGAGTTAATAACATAATAAATATTCAAAACATGAAAAGAATATTAGAAAGAAAAAACAAGGATGTCTCTCAGTTATTTAATTAATTTATAACTTTAGGTAAACACCAAATTGGTAATAGGTAAAATCCAAATTCACCTTCGATGTAATTAAAAAAAATGCAATTCATGTGCAAAAATTGTAAGCACTTATTACAGTCTAAGAATGCATATTCAAATTAAAACTAAAAATCAGTGTTTGGATCCCAATCAAATATGGTTGGCAATTTCTCGAATTTACTGATTTCATAAGAATCTGTAGCGTTTGCAACATCACCAATATTGTATGTCCTTGGCATGAATTTGCGCAATAGATCAACAAAACCACCACGTTTTATGACTTGTGGCGCAGCTCCTTGAGATTCGGCTTGGCAATGCGTACCCTGATTAGTAATATCATGAACAGACTTGCCAATATCAGGAACCCATGTGTTGACATTTTCATTCCTAGTGGTCTTAACCTCCTTTTGAGTTTACCCTTGCCTTTTCTTTTCTTTTGTTCTTTGATAATATCCTTCTCCTTAGGATTTATTTTCTCCTTCTCTATTTCCAGGATCATTTTAGCTAATTTGTCTCTGAGCCAAATAGATCGATCATACGATGTAGACACCATTCTACTAAGTTGTGTACTTAGACCATTGAGGAAAGAAAAACGCCCATTTGCCGATGCCTGATCATTCCTCTTTTGAAGATCTTGCTGCTTCAATGAATTTGATATATTGCTCTTTGCTTTTATTGTCCACCTACGAAGAATGCAACTTTCTGGTAGTTCAACCATTCCTCTATATTTCATGACCGCAAACATATGACGACAAGGCAAACCAATTGCATTGTATTTCATACAACAACAAACTAGTTGTTTTAGCTTGTCATTGTAGCACACACTGTAATTACAATCTTTCAACACATAATTGTTTAACCAGTAGGTTGTTGACGACCCATCAACATGCCCTTTTTCTTCTTTCACCTTTGTCACAATGTGCCTTGATTCAAACTCAAGTTCTTTACAAAATAGATTGTACAAATTCCTTGTGTAGGTTCGAGCTGCTTGTGTTTTTATTTCAGTCAATACACTTGTTATAACGGGAAATGTGTGTGTGAAGATGTAATCATCTTTGTCTTCTTCAAATCGGATATGTTCAAGTACTTGGTCATACAGCTCCACAAAACGATACAACATTATTTCTTTTGTTATAACCGTTTTAAGTGTGCTATTCATAGACTCACATCTTTGAGTTCTTCTCATACCTGCTCATAACATAAGTAATGAGTGATATAATTATCACTGAATTCATATTATTCTACAAAAAACTCTTACCTAATCATATATTAAGGTACAATAATGTGTAATGATGTATATGTGTGTATAATATTACATATCTATTAATTGGTAAAGACCTATATATATGTTTACCATTGCACATACATTTACCACATGTTTCAACATATTATATATAACACAATTTGCAAAAAAGGGACTATTTTTAAAAATAATTGGTAACCATCTATATAATCATGTTTCATTACACTAGGAATAAAAAAGTAGGCTAATTTATATAGATAACCCCCAAAACAGTACAGGTAATGATCATTGTTATTATTGCTCATTACGTATAGAAAGCAAATTTCTTACCAGCATAAAATTGTCTAACCATAAAAGCCTCAGCCCATTTATGTTTATCATTGTACAAATCTTTAGCCCACTTTTTATCTCTCACTTCATCATATGCCTTCATTAAGTCTTCCCATGCTTGTTCAAACTCAGACGGTGTCCGAGCCCCGTCAACACATTTCATTATTCCACTGCAAAAGCGTCTGTTTGTATGGCCCTTGATGTTGCGCATAAGATGCCATAGACATAGTCTATCGTGAGCATATGGGAAAACTTCTTCAATGGAAAGTTTCATAGACTTGTCCCCATCCGTGACAACAGTGTAAGGAGCAACGTTGCCTCCAGCCTCAAGTAATTGTCGAAGCACCCATATGTAAGTGACTGTTTTTTCATTTGTGACCAAAGCGACACCTAACGGCACTGTCTTCCTATGGTGGTTTACTCCTACAATCACCACAAAAGGTTTGTTGTAGGCGTTTACTTTATAAGTCATGTCGAATGCAATTACTGATCCAAAAGTCTTGTAATTCCCTTGACATATCCTATCACACCAAAACATTTTTTCTATACAATCGTACTCATCACATGTGTACCTTAAAAAAAAAAAGAAGGGTCAGAGGATGTTTTTCCAAGTAAGTACGCTAACATAGATTATGTGTCTCCATCCTTTATCTCCTGTTTTTTGAACTTCTCACATGTATTGTACAAGTCTTTTGTTAAGAACCCAACTTCACATATCCCCCCTGCAGTTTGTGCTAAATTTCTCATAGTGATGGATGGTTTCACTCCAGACTGAATTAAGGACTTAATTTGAATTTGCTTCGGTGACTTTTATGTGGCTCCAGTAATATATTCAAAAAAATTAATATTATTTAACGAATGTAGAAACTTAAATATTTAATTAGTTATGATGTATGTGACATAAAGTGAAAACCAACCTTTCAAAATAGACTTGGTTCATGGGAACTAAATCATGGCCATTGTGCTCAGCCACAAATTATTTCACGTACCATGAATCATACCGGTGATCCCACTTGAAATTTATGAATGCTTTGCAACCACATCGTGTTATCGGCCTCTCTTTACGCTTTCTATCAGGTCTTCCCAAGTGTTTTGTTTCACGAAACCCTTCTCTGTTACACCAAATCTTTTGTGAAGTCGGATGACCATCAACTTTGCTTGTTGTTGCATGCTTTAGACGGATTCCAAAACCTTTTACCTTGGCGTACATGTTATAAAATTTAATTCAGGTATGATGGGTTTTAAAAGACAGTTGTTGCATATCTTGGAAAGTGAAGTCTTCTATCTTCTTGCCAATTTTTTCCCATATGTCAGCAAACGAATCAAGAATTTCATCATCGTCGGTGTCTGACACATTAATAATCTCATCTTCATCGTCACTAACCTGTATTAATTATGGGACAAATGTCATATTTAGGATTTTTTTAGTTTGTTGAAAATAATTTTTTTTTACACTGTATGTGAAATGATATATATTACCTCTGGATTTTGCATAGCATCCTCTATTGGATCCTGATTTTCAAATTGTCGATGTAGCCATTAAATTTGTCACACACCATTTATCGTTAATAAAATATGAATTATTTAAAATAAAACAAACCATAATAAAACAAGTTTATGCCACCTACCTCAACTTCACGATCATCAGCTTGGTTGGTATCATTAGCTTGCATATGTGAGTCTATACCAACATCCATATGTGAGTCTTCTTCTCTACCAACATCCATATGTGAGTCTTCTTCTCTAATAGATACCCGTGTTGACTTTGAATTTCAAAGTTTGAAAAAGGTTGTATACGTTTACTGGAAAAAAAAAACCAAATTTTTAATATAAATACATGATAACCATGAAAAAAGGATAATAACTAATCATCCTTTTTTTTGTTAACAAATAATTACAAATATTTTAAATTAATCTTTTATTTTACTAATATTTGGAAGAATAATTTAAGATTTTTTATATTTTTGGTAATTATCTTTAAACATATATTACATCCCTATTAATGCACACATGTGTTCACAAATGTGGATGTGATGTTTATTTTTTTCCATTTAATATTATTTGTATAACTTAATTGAATATACCGGTTTTTTTTGTTTCCTTTAATTTTATTATGATGAGAAACTCACGCTAGGTGACTAGGTATTGACAAATTTTATATTTG